AACCCCTAACGCCTTCTGCTAAATCATCTTGCTACAAAAAATATACACTTCAATTGGTAAAAAACATTACCAGAAATTTCAGAGCTAGCAGTATTCTATTAGGGTTTTGAAAGGAATTTGTCAATACAAGCGGCCGGATGTTCCATTCACACTACAAATACATGGATCTAGCACCGCTGATGAAACTAGCCACAACATTTAACAAACACATCTAACTTTAACGCTAAACTACCGCTGTCCGGTCAACTGCAAGGAACAAATACGGAATAGGCCAATAATTTCAAGGAGCTTATTAATCTGGTGTCCTAGAAAGAGTAGGGATCAAGCTCACCTTGATTCTTCAGATTCTGTTTCATCAAAAGAGCTGCAAGTAAAGTGAGAGGAAACGTTGGTTACAACAGAATTAACTCTATAATAATAATAAAAAACAAAACAAAACAAAAAAACCACCAGAAAACCCTCTAAGAACCACGAAAGGCAGCAACGTTTTTCTGGTCAGTCAGTGCAAAATGCAGCGTGTGACGGGACAAACGTGGGAGACCACCATACAACCACCACTGTCGGGAAGGACAGCACCCATGGTACCATAACAGTGTCACAAGCATTTCTCCCTCTCCGACGTGACGGGACACAGTCCCGCCGAGCGCACCAGCTGATGTCATTAGCCACACGCGAACACTACAAGCCCGCTGGCTTCTGAATCGCTCTGGAGACTGCCCTGGGCCAAGTGTCGGGGAAGGTGTCTCCCTCCGAGTGTAGGAGGGCCTCCACATCACCTCCTCCTTTTCCAGCTGGCCTTCGTGCCACCGCAGGTCCACACAGCCTCCCCCCGAGGGGAAGAGGGACGTGCAGCTTTCTGGGGAGTGAGCCCTGGTAACGCTGCTGGACTGTCAGCTACGTCAGCTTGCACAGCAGGAGACAGTATTCTCCCTACACAGCTCACAGCTGCAGACGGTAACCGCTTCTCATCACAGATTTTTGGGGTGTTTCTGTAGTCGTTACACTCATACTAAGACTCCCTTCTCCCACCCTGATCAAGAACCCTTCCCAGGGGAAGGGCAGTGAGGCCATCTGGGTAGATAGCATCACAAAGACCCCAATTTCAAGCACGCAGAGGGAGATCATAAAGTGATCACAGAATGAACTTGTATTGGGTGCAGATATTACGACCATAAAATACACGCAACGGCTTTCTCTGCACCTTCAGTGAGCGTTTCCGAGTATCTTAAATCTCAGCGGATACTTCCAGATCTGTGAGAAAATCGTGTTTTTCTCATCCAAATTCTCCTTTGCTTTCCAAGAATATCACATTAAACCTCACTTTTGTCTTTGAACAGGCTGAATTTACTTTACCACCTTTTGGGGATGTATAAACATACCGCACATGAACCTGATGCCCATTTATTGTACAGCGCTAGAGTTGGCAGCAAGACCATTTTAAGTCAACGGAATTGCATCAGCACCGAGTGAATATGGGCCTTTTGGCCTCCGTGTATTTTTCAGTAAATGAGAGCTTACCCGCAGCTTTCTGCTTTTGGCAGGGTAGGTACATGGCGAACGTTCAGGAAATCAAGAAATATTTTAGGGAGTTCTTCATTTTCTAAAATGACAGTCTGTAAAAAAAAAAAGGTGCAATAGAAACCCAGGATTTTTTAATATTTTACTGATCGCACATTTTTGTTCAAGTTACCAAAACATTTCCCACTTGCAATGCTTCTCAATTTTTTTTTAAACACCTATTTTGGAGTGGTTAATTTCAGTAGGAAAACCGCAGTTCTTAATGAATCACATATAAACGCATTCAGCTTACGCTGTTACATTCTTTTTCACCTGCCACCAGTGGTGCCAAGCTAGATGCCTCTCAAGCAGAGATGTCTGATTCTGGAACTAAGTTACTGGCACACTCACCTGTGAATAAAATCCCGTTTATTTAAAACGTAACATAAAGCAGCTACAGCTCAGTGCTCTCACGTTCACCTCACAAAAGACTCCTGTCTGGCACATCAGCGGCAAAAGGAAGTCTCCACTTTGTGCAATTTTATTAATGCATGCCTTGGTAAATGCTAACAAGGGAAACCCTTTGCTTGGCTTGACAGGTCAGCTTATGACATCCTCCGTATATCCGCGCTGTGGCTCCTAACGACAGCTCCGACCAAATAGCTGCTGGCCGTACCTGCCCCATTCTTCCACAGCGACAACATACTGGTCGGACTCCATCCTCCTTTGTTTTTCCACTGATGAGGTGATTTACAGTTCTCAGTAAATTAATTACAAGCACACTTAAAAAAAATGTACCAAATAAATGGGATTCTTAGGTGCGCATTCATCGTGAAAGAACGCCCTTTAAAGGAAACCACAGATCTCTGACAGTTTCATAAAAGCGGACCAAAAATAACTGTTGTTCTTTAATTTGCACAGGGCAAACAAAACAGTCCACAAATTCAATCGATGTCTCACCTGAAAGATTAAGCCCCTGTTTATTTACTGCTCATACTGCCATACATTCTGGTAACACACATACTTCACGTGCAAAGGGAAGCCACAAGCTCTTCCCAAAAGAAGTTTTCTTCATAAAGGCTGATCCGGAGTGAACGTATGCATGGAAGCAGCTTCACTAGACTTATAAATAAACTGACTTGTACAAGTGGAAGGTGTCCCTGCCCGTGGCAGGGGGGTTGGAGCTAGATGATCCTTAAGTCCCTTCCAACCCAAACCACTCTATGATCATTCTATGATTCTAGTGAACCTACCCACGCTCACCCTGTTCATTTTCACACCCTATGTTACAAGAAACAAACTTAGAGAAGAAACAAGACTGGTGACGGGAAGAAACACTACTCTGCCTACAATCAGGGGTAACTTACTCCTTCACGTGTATTCTTCGACATTTCGTATCACTAGGGAGACTCAATGGTATGTAGAGGATAACAGGAACACAAAAAAATTAGGTTGGAAGAGACATCTAGAGGTCATCTAGATTTTAACGCAGGTTTCGTAGGAAATGGTTTGGTTGTCTGTATAATGAAAACCCAGTTAGTGTAAAATTTACAGAAGACGTGCACAGACTTGAAGAGAGAACTACATCTAAAACCGAAGATATTTGAGAACTAGTTCTTTTTTATGCTGCACTGGCAAATCTGAACTCAGAGTCTACATTTCTTCAGCGGCTGAGGCCACCACTAGCGAGTCTGAAAAAAAAAGAACGGGGCAAAACGCAGCTCTTGAACTTTTCTGTTGTAGATTTTAACGGGTGCAACCAACAGGGAGGTCTGAAATGTTGTCAAGTGTTAAGCCTTTCAGTTCACCTCTGTGTGAAGATGCTGCATTAAAAAATGCCACTTCATTTGCATTCTGCAAAATCAGCACTCCGCTGCTGCAAAATTTATCCTGTTCTGCATTCAGGTTAGGCACAGAAGGAGGGGTGGAGGTGGATGCATATTCAGAGGGTGTGTGAATTGCATAGCAAGGCGCACCACTCGCTCAAATAAAACCTTCTTACTAATTACATGCAATGAAGAACCGCAAAAAGTTGTATAAAGATGTTTAAGGGCATCCAGTGCTTACATGCAACCTCATACTTACACCTCCTGACAGCTTGTTCCAAAAGTTGAGCTGCCTGCTGAGGCTGCTGAACTGAACAGTGATTGTCAGGGAAGAAGAGAAGGATTCGTCACTGCATAAAAAGAAAACTCCCGACAGCTCTTACAAGCCTATTTGTTTCTACTTCCACTCATTCCAGATTAATATCTCATTCTATTTCTTTTAGGCTGTTTTTTCCCAACGTGCATCAAGTCAAGCCCAGCCCTGCTAACCCTGTCCCAGCCCTAGATGTGAGCCAACGGCATCTGTTTTAGTGTGTTAATCCATGTAGTTTGTTAACTGCCAATAACTCTGCTCTGGTGATCAATAATCCTGGAAATGTAGAATTTGCAGAGAAGCAAAGGCAATTTTGCACGGTACCGTATTTTGGATGACACCTCTGTTGACCGGGAATTTTGCCATTTCCAGGATTTTATGAAGGCAGGATCGAACAAAGGAGGATTTTTCAACTGATGTAATGTAATGTGACATGTGTTTTAAGGAATTAATAAATAAATGAAGGTGCAAGTTAATTATATGAATAAGAGGGCAAATTATCTTCTGGCTTGACTTCATTGGCTTCAATACAAAAAAGGGCCAGCACATAATCCAGCCATTTAATAGACATGGAAGAAACCAAAGAAAGAGAGAAAAAAACCTGTGAAAAAAAGGAAAAAAACCCAACCACAAACCAAAACCCACCCAGACACACAGGATTCAGCGTGTCTGTCTAGCTCTATTTCCTACCTCTGCTGGTGTCCTGAGGTGGATGTCCAGGGAAAAATGTAGTAGGGATTCCTAACTTCCTATTTAAGTTGTTCAAAAAACATTCTTAAGTCAGAAATAAATGTTATCATTATTTGCTTAATTTACCTGCAACAACACATAACACCGCAGATTTTTGACTTCTGACTGAAAACTTGTAAAAACCACATATGTTGCAAACTTGATGGTCTTTAAACAATAGCTGAGCAGAAAAGGAACCAGGAGGCAAAGTCTCTAAACCACTGTCTTTAATTTGGGAGGTAATGTGCTCAACCACAGCCTTTTTTCATATGAACACAGGACACTGGCTTGTAGGCACAACTACTGCCTTGTTTGCTCGGCAATCAGGGACTTAAAGATACACGTGTTCAAAGAAATAAGACGTCAGAGTCAGCAATGTGAACTGCTAATATATCTGAATTCTACCAAGATGATAATAGCAATGAGTTGCAAATATGGGCCCCAGAGTGCTAAGTAGACTAATTTAAGAAAAAACACAGCATGTGTATTTCCTTTCTCAAATAAATAAAAAACCCACCCCAAACTAAAACACCTAACACAACCTCTGGCAAGTGATTTGGGAAGTGACTCCAGAAATACATTTTTCAAACTCATTGATTTCAGGTGAACTAAGAGTATAAGCACCGTATTTTCTTGGAAAATCGTAAAGGGTGTTTATCTGTTACTGTCACACTTTAATGAACTACTCTGTGCTTCGGGAGGAAAAAAAAAAACCCACACACAAGGGAAGGCCTGATGTTTACATCAGCAGAAATGTCTTTTTCATCGAAAGGGTGCAATTATTATTATGTAACACAAATCACAAAAATCCCAATTTTTCTACCTTATCAGTTTCATAAAATCATGTTCCCTAAGGATGTCATTGATCAGTTGCACATGTTCTTTCAGTGACATCTGAAATACTTAATTGTCGGTTATCTTTTCTCCTTCAGCGAGTAAAATATAGGCACAAAATTGCAAAGGGACTTGTTCTGCCTTAACCTTAGCTAGATGCCATCATGCAGTGGAAAACAGTGCTAAAATATCACAGGATAATGCTCTCCAACAAGGGAGACATATAAACAGCATAATGATTTCCCACGAGTTTCCTTTTTAGAAAATTGTCACTAAAGCCAGGGTAAATGGTGACATATCTTCACAGAGGACACTGCGAAATCGAACACTGGCATTCTAGTTAGGTCCAAACCTACTCATCAGCCAATTATAACAGCAACTGAACGTCCTGCT